CGGACTTGGAAATCCCGGGGCCTCTCCCCACGGCCACTTTATTCGAGTCCAGGCTTGTTCTTTCCCTAGTTCCCTGCCTAGTCCTTCGCGGCTGGTGGCGATGAAAGAACGATCGCCCGATATGCATTCGGAGCAACACACTGCTTAATAGTTTTCACAAGGACAGACTGAATTAGACCCGCAGAGAAATTTTCAAGATTTTTCTCCGTGAAATATAAGAAAAAAAGTGTTCACATAATCTTGGAAACTTCAGAGATCACGAAAAGATGATTCGATGGATTATATAATACGATATAAGCAATACTATTAGATTACATACTTTGGTTTTAACTTTTAAATGCATTGCCTATTATTATATTATCATTATTATTATTATTATTATTATTATTATTATTATTATTATATTATATAAACATATCCTAAGATCATACTCACAGAAATAGATTTCTTGGTTTTTAAACTCTTTGAATGTTCCATATTATTTATATCTTTGTGGCCGGATACGTCATGAAAGAGTCACGTGCAATTCGTTTTGCATACCAAAATTTCCACAGATAACTTTTCTAGAAAAATACACTTGTTATAGAAACAAAGAAAATGGAAGAGAAACACGCCCAAATGTAAGCAAACCTCTAGGAGTTGTCCAATTGCATCATTACCCTTTATTCATTTTCGTAGTCTGTACGAAATGACGCACCAGAAATTATTTATTCCCTTCAAAATTAAACAAATATGACATATTTATTTTAATTATCAAAATAACTTACCAAGTAAGCTGGGATAAGTCATATTCATAAAATCTTATTTAAATGCTTTGTTAACGGCATTGGAGTCAAAATGCCCCTCGCCAGCCCGCTATTTTACCACCTTTTTTTAAATTCAATGTCCGTAAGGCTTCCGCAGCACAGAGTTGTGTGCATGATCTGGTTGTCCGGTGACGCCGCGTGGCGGAAGCTGTGTTGCTGACGTTTCGACCGTCTTGTCGTGGCCTTCTTCAGGGCTGTATGTCATGGGCATACCACCGTACAGTCAAGATCATGTACGTTTTTTTAAATTGGTGCTCGAAAGTACGAACACATATTTTAAAAATTTAGCGTCGGCCATTTACTTGTGAAAAGAGATTCACCGTGAACTCAAAAGCAGATAAACATCAGTTTTGAGATCAAAAATCGAGTTGTAGGATAAAAGAGCTCGTACGTATACTCCGCTCATTCTTTCCCGCGTATTTGAACCCGGAAGATCTTAGAGCAAGGTGGAATGTTAGCAGAAAACCTTAGAAGTAAAATTATATCTAAAGATAAGAACGTGTGAGCGGGATGGAATAAGTTATATATTTACAAAATTAGTTCATTTTTTTTTTAAAACCAGTTCCATAATCGCAATCGATGTTTTGAGTATTGCCACAAAACAATTTTAAGATCGTATTGAAGGAGACGGAAATATGTGAAAATATAGTTATGTACTACTATTACAGACCGTTTCACCTCAGTCAGTAATGGCGTTAGTATAGCATCTCTAATTGGTATCTGCTGGAAAAATAGTCTGAGACAGAGACGAAAGCCGAAACCGACTGTCTGGCTTGCGTAATCCCGCAAGTCCCGCCTGCTCCGCCGGGGCTGGCCGCACACCGCTGGCCTGTGTCGTGCCCCCGCGCCGAGGGGGCCCACAACAATCGGGTTGGTTGTCGCAACGGAGAAGAAGGGGAAGGGGGGAGGTGTTTTCGTTAAAATTTCACTTTACGACGCTCCTATTCGTCCGATTTGATGATTGTCACGGCGATGGATTCAGGAAGCATGTCGCCATCGCGCTATAAGCCCACATTTTTAATTTTTTTTCTCGGAAGTTTGAGAACTAATTCAATTCGAGATTTGCTAGATTTTTGGAAAAAGGACTTCGTAGCGTAAATTCTATTTAAAAAGGAGTCAAAATGCCGTTACAGATCGAAAAACGGGACCATTGGTTCAGACGTTATCGGTAAAGTTAAATTTTACTTATTTTGGTGCTGCCACGTGGTGGCCACAAATTGTACTAGTGTCGGGACATTTAGCCTTAAACGTCCTCTACACAATCCAAGATCAAAATGTAATAAAAAAATTTGGTGCTATTTTTAGAAAAGTGTCCCATGGCTTCAACCAAAGAACCCTCCAAAATTAAAATATCGGTTTGAAATTCAAAGGGCGGTGACATCAGTCAAATCGATTGGGGGGTGTCCATTTTAGTGAAAATTCTACTTACGGATTCGCCGCTAGCGCTTTTTACACACGGACGGACTGACATTTTGGGATTCTGATTACGGACCGTGGTAACAAGATTTATCAACTTTTTCGTTACTAAGGCTCGGTGATATTAGCTTTTCGAAAAAAATCGCCGTTTTTTCCCCGCAGCATTACAATTCTTTCTCTTTATTGCGCAAGAAGTAGTCAAAGTAAAATTGTGTGACAATGTTTTACAAAATTATATTTTGGATACAAATAACTTGAACATACATGTACAAGTTTAAGTGAAAATAATTCGTATTCTAAGTGTGCAATGCGAAGTAAGAATTACAACTACAATATTGATTCATTAACACCAGCAGTGCCAAGGTATAAAAGGCCACGCGGGAGGCGTAAAAGGAACTTACCACTTACATTTTTATTTTATCGCTGCTTTTATTTTCTTGCTACCGCTTATGCAGTAGTGAGAATGTTACTCAATTTTTTCAAGAATATTGTACATGACCTTATTTCAAAATCTATCTTGAAGGAACAGATTTTATTAAAGGAATATTATCTTTCTTTAATATGTTAGTGTAAGAAGACGCCGAAAAAACTGGATTTTTGCAATTTTCGAAAAATTAGAGTTTTTAACGAAAATGAGACCTGCACTAATCTCGTAAGCGTTTTATACACTATCCAAATTTGATTAAAAACGATTTAGCCATTTTTTTCAAAATGTTGAAATTGTTACATCGGCTTATGTAAAGTAGCCCTATCAACTAAAATATCGATTTCAAATTCCAGAGGCCGCGACATCAGTTAGAACCATTACGGAATATCAATTTTGGAGACAATCGACTGAACGGTTTAGTCACTAGCGTGGTTCACAGTCAGATGGACAGATGTTTTGCCGTCAGTCGATTTTTCGGTATCAAGGACCTACAAATCATGAATTCTGGCTACACCAGTGGTGTCAGATGATTTTTTTTTCTAAATTTAACACCTCAATTTATCAACTTTTTCGTTTCCAGGACTCTGTAGTAAGAGGTTTTCTGCCGAAAAGCCTCCGTTTTTTCGCTCAGCATTACATATTTTTCTCTCTACCGCGGTAGCGAAAAAGTAAAAAATTGGAAAAACGAGAGCCATAAATTTGTAAGAACATTTTAACTTTAATTTCATATTACTACCGACGCTGCCTTGGGGAACAATGCAGCAATGTACAAATATATGTGAGAAGTTTATCATTGAACAGAGACAATGAAAAAATAATGAAATGTGAAATTCTTTTGGATTCTTCTTTTTGTTGAACATTTGCTTATTGATATTTTTTATTTAACGTCAAAAACAGAAAAACGAGTGTGTCGTACTAAGTGGAGAAATGTATTCTGTGAATTTTTTTAAAATTATGGTATCCATATCCTACCTTATACACATGTTGAATTCAGAATGCAGATGGACACGAAAGATGTTCATCGATTAGTAATGAGAATATGGAGAAATTTTCTTAGGTAAAACGTATTGAGCATTACATGTTCAGACAAAGAGTAACGTGTAATTCGGGTAACGTTCTTCATTTAAAAAATGAAACATTTAAGAATGAATTTAGGATATTTTGAAAACGGGGTGAAAAATAATTGTATGGTTCGTTACTGTGTGTTTATGGACATAAAAAAATTAAATTAAAAAAGTAATGGTATGGACAATTCCCTTGAGGCTTTTCTGATTCTGCATGTTCGTGCGGCCCCTTTGAATACTTCATGCCCGTTCTAACACAACAAACACAACATTTTTAAGAATTCCATTTATTAAAGTTAAGATACAAAAACACAATAAATAGACAGTATAATTCTCAAATTAGTGAAATAACTCGTTGTAAACCTTATTTTGCTTAATTGATATGCGGTATAATATAAT